AAAGTAACGGCTGACTGAAACTATAGTACACTCTGCAACATGATCTAAACGATTGATAATCAAAACGTCCGATCAATTTAGCTGCATGGCTCTATAAATAGCTTTATTTCCGTCTTAAATTTTATAATTAAGTATTTTATTTGTAAATCGATCAGTTGTTAATTTTTGTATACAAAGTTCATTTATAATTTTATTACTGTATTAATTTGATGGTTTGCTTTTTTATACTTTCTTTTTATGTAAACTTTTTTGGTTTATTGCGATTGATAATTTTGCATCGCCCGCTACTGCACAACAACAACAACAACAACCGCTACCGCTACCACTCCCGATTTCGCTGATCTCGCTGCTTGAATCCCTTCCACCTAATCCGCATAAACGATAGTGATTCCCCCCGAGCTAATTCGCGAGGTTGAGTCTCGCATGAACCGCGACTACCTGCCACCCACCCTGAAATCTCTGAGCCAATCGCCCCCCAATGGTACATACCCGGTGGGCGTGGCCCTACCCATGGCCATGTCGAAGGGCATGTCGCCGCCCCACTCGCTGCCCCTGGTGGCAGCCGCCGGTGGCTCCGTGCCCCAGCTGGCGAACAGCAACCGGCGCCTCCATCGTGTGGTCCACCCGAAGTTGCCCACCGTTCAGGAGGGTGGTAAGTCTTGAGTTTTTCCTGGGGATCTCCTCCTGAAATTAGGTTAAGAGTGTCTATTAATCCTACAAATCCTAAAATTGAAATTCATAAATCAGATGCTTCTGATTAAAAGAACTTATAAGGGTCTTGCCTCAGCTGAAGCTTTATTTACATAACAATCTTTTTTTTTTAATTATTTTTTTTAAAAATTTAAATATTTGTTTGATTTAAAAAAGAAATACAAGTAATAAACGTTACAATTCTTTTTTATGCATATACATATATACAAGAATTGAAAAGCGTATCTTAATTACTTTCTTTAACTCGAACCTTAACTGTAGCACATTATAATATATTCGAATCCCTGCTTAGAAAACTATATAAATGAAGAGGCCTTGACATTTAGCTGACATTCTTCCTCCATTTCCTTTTTTTTTTTCCGTATTTTTACCCCCGCCGCTTGCCATTTAGCGACAATAGGACGCTACAGTCCAGTGCGACGTGCCTCGGAGGGATCCAAAAGCCAGTTCCAAGGACCGCTACAGGAATGCCAATCCCTGCAGAAAGGTATTGCACAGAGAAACTTTTTGGTTGCACCCAGTCCGCCGCTTTTAGAAAATTCGATCAGTTTGCCAGGTAAGAGACGAAGACCAAAATTAATGCCACAAGCTTCAACACAAGCTTATCATCTTAGGAGGGGGGAAATGAATAATTTTCAAAATAATTTTGTTTCCATAGGTTCGCCCATACATGGCAAACCAGGCATGGGCTTACAGTTGGCTCTGCGGCGTGGCCATGACATCGAAGTTCCTCCGGATGCCATCAAGAATCTGATGCCCGCCCTGGACCGCTTGGTCAAGGAGCAGCGCGTTAGCTTCGAAATAGCCAATAAGATTATCTCAACGCATGTGGTGCCGATGGATTTGGCTCCGCTGCTGGGACTCGCAGCTCACGCTTCCAGTGCGGCGGCTGTGAGTGGTGGACACCTGGACCAGAGTCACTTGTTGTATCTGCAGCAGCAGCAGCAGCAACAACAGCAGCAGCAGCAAATGCTCAGCTTCAGTGTTTCACCACTGAGTCTGCCGCAGGGTGGAGCGGTGAATGCCTCACTGACCTCCGCCAAGCAGATGTTTGGCCAAATGATCTGTGGCTACCCGCCATATCAGCCAATGAGTCTGGCCCTGCAGCCGCAGCCGCAGCATCAACAGCAGCTGGTGGGTCAGTTCAGCAGCATCAACCTGGGAGCCAGCAACTCAAATTCGAGCAGCGGCTGCCAATCGCCGGTCTACAGTAGCAGCTTCAGCGGCAGTTGCTCCCCCAATCCTTACCTGCCCTGTCCGGCCGGTGGCTCCTCGCCGCTGCACCAGATCACCAAGGGCATCTCTGGACTGAGCACTGGTGGGGCTGGTGGCTCCATCACCAGGGGCACTTCGGCAGCCAGCGAGGGGGCAGCTGCTGCGGCCGCTGCCAATCAACCGCTTGACTTGTCCATGGACGTTTGTGGCGGTCTGATGGATCAGCAGTCGACGGAGTATGCGGCCACCAATTGGTTTGTGCCCACGGCTTCGTATTACGATCTGAAACCGTTGAATCTATCGCCAGCACAACCCGTAAGGGTCGTGCCCACGCCGCCGGCGTCACCCAATCTGTGCATCATCCAGGAGGAGAATGGAAATGGGCAGATGTGTCACACTATCAGCACGGGCACTCCATATGCCGGCTGTACCGGCGGAATTACGCCGCAGATATGCCTCACCGACGTCCAGGGCAGCGAGATTACATTGGTGGCTCTGTCCTCGGACAACAGTCGCGATAGCGAGGATTCTCTCGAACAGCACACACCTGTTGTGTCCCTGCAGGTGAGATCAATTAACTCTCTAACTGTTAAATTTAATCACTAGACTAGGTTGAAAGAATTATCATATTGACTTTGCAACTAATTCTCCCTAATTAGGGTCTGATTATTACGGAACCCAGCAGCGATATGCCTTCAATAACCAGGGGAATCGGACGTAAGGCCAGCCTGGACTGCGAATCGAGCGGCGGAAGTCATTGTCCGGTGGCAAGCAGCTCCTCCCATCCCGGCCAATCCCAGGCGCAGGCTCAAACCGAAGCCCAGTGCCGGCGAGGTAGTGACAAGTCGCTGGGCTTCTCGGACGACTCGCTTAGCAACGACTCGAATAACCTGTCGCCCTGCCAGGAGCCATCCGCCAGCTCCGGCTTCAAGTCGGATTCGCACTCGGAGATGGGCGATCACACGGAATGCGGCCATCTGACACCCGATTCCATGTGCGATTCGCGGCGCATGTCGGATGAGATGTGCTACGAGGTGCCGCTGCCACATGAGTGCTCCAATCTGGACTCCACCCGCATTCTGGAGATGGTCAAGCAGACCATTGACTCCACCATGCCGCCCAAGGGCTTTGTGCTGCACAAGGGCAGCATTAGCTCGGAGGATAGTGGGGCGGAGTCGCGACACAGTAGTGCCTCGAATGCCTCCAGCTCAAATCCCTTGGCATGCGAAGCGGCTTCCCTGCTGGCCTCACACTCTGGCTACGGAGAGCCAACCACCAATCTCAGTTTGGAGTACTCGGGCGGCCTGCAGATCGAACTGCAGGTGTGCGAGGGACGCAGCCGGGATCACCATGGAGCCGGCAAAGGCATCAAATTGCGCCGCATTTCGGGCGACCAGTTCGAGTACGGCAAGATCTGCCAGCAGTTGATCAGCACCATCACCATGCAGCAGGTGGCAGGCTAAATTACGGATTCTGCCCTGCTAGCTACCCAAAATGACTACTCGCCTTGCCTAAACTCTGCGTAGCTGTGATCAAAGCCGATATGTACGATATAGCCATCCTAAAAAATAGCAATTGGACAGGAGTTAGCTTTCCATTTCCCAACAAAGTTTATTCCTTTACCTTTCCCTTGCCCTTTCCCGTTTTTCAAGTTCAGTAGCGTAATCAAAATTTTTAAATATCAATTATAAACACTTTTTTCAATTGTTCGTCGACCACACCGATTCTTAGCTAGTTTAATTCTAAACGGAACGTGTAAATACGTCTAGAGATAATTTAAATATTCGCAAACAGATTATATAGATTAACGAATAACGCACATGCCAAGATAGTTTAGAGAATTTGTAATACAAATTGGGTGGCGAAAGGTTTTTCAGCAACAGGAGCAAGTAAAATACATTCCAGTAGCAGAAATTTCATACAAAGGAAACCAACGTTCGTTCTAGCCGTAAAGATTATTAATATTTAGAACTACTATATATATATACATATATATATATATATATATCGACTAATGTTACTTTCAACTTTTGTGCAATTCGTAAACAAGATAAAAGTGTTTATTTTGTCAACTCAGTTCAATGACGATACGTACGTCTATATCTGCATGAGATATAGATAATCTAAATGTTAATATATATAGGTGATTATTAAATCTGTAGTTAGTTTGCAGTGGCAATTCGTAGCTCCGATTAGTGGTAAGCTCTTGATTCCGTTAAATTTTAAACATTTTTTTATGAATGTAGTGAGAGTTTGTTCAGTTATTATACGATATATGGTTAGAGTTATATTCTACGAATTAAACACAACATTGATAAATCTATTTTTTAATGAAAGACTGCTGTGATTTTAAATGTAATTAATTAATTTAGAGCGAGTAAAGAAAGAAGAAAACAACAAAAAACAAAAACTACAAACTTGAAAACAATTAGTTATATCATTATATAAATAAACAATTCAACTTTATCTTAAATAAATTACCAATTCTCCAAACATAAACGAATGTTGTTTTACATTTTTTACGATCGAGGAATGGTGGAATTTGGAACACTGGGCTGTTTTTTTTTTTTTTTTTTTTTTTTAATTTCTAACTTAATCAAAAAAATTAAATGTAGATTTAAGAATAAAAAGATCGAACAACTCAAAAAGGTTTTCAACAAATTGGAAAGCTGCAAATACTTAAAATTTGCATTTGAGAAATGGGCTAAATATCTCCACAAAATTTAATCAAAATATTATGCATAGCAGTGAAAAAATTACAATAAGCAATATCATCGTGTTCCACGATGCCATATATGCAGGCCATTGGGGGTATTTTTAATTAATTTTTCAAAAAAAAATTTCATCGAAATATTATGAGTGCGTTTAAAGAAAATCACTTATCAGTGGTAAATTTTTAAATAGATATGAAAATGCCTCGCATTCTATACATAAACCAGTTCGTAAGCCATGGCACCAACCAAAATATTTGGTGCCATTAAAAACACTACTTCGACGATAACTTTTGATTATTTTCTACGCATTTCGCAGAGCGTGTTCCAATCCGAGCTCTATTTTCAAAAACAAACTAAAACACCTCTTAACGAGGTAAAAAAGTCGTGATTATCTCCCCTTCAACAAATAATATATCTGATATCAAATTCTGTGACGACAAATGAATAAGCGTTCGACTAAATAAATAGCATAAACTGAACCCAGTTTCTGGCGCCATCTGCGAGTAGGTGGCGGAAACAGTTCGTGGCAAATGTGGCGGGTCAACAGGGCTAAGTGTCAAGCACTGATCTGGAGAGAGCATTTCTATTCTTTCGCTGTTAAGGGGCTTGCCGCCATAATTGGGCGGCACCAGCGATCTTTTCCCTTTGAGCCTTCCACCAGAGAGGTTGATACCGCAGTCAAAAGTTTTTTTTATGGCGCCAGAAGTTTTTACTCGGAAGGGGGAGAGACGTTATACCCAGCCAACGATTCAAGGTGTTAATAAAGTCAACGAAATTAGGTGAGTCATTGGGATAAAGGGCAGATAAAAAGTTTTTTTTTTAGACGCTGGCATGGAGAGGGAAAAAAAGAGAAAAAAATGTGTTGGCAAAAGAATAAGAAAATTATTGTTCGCAGTAGGCCTGCAGCATTGCTGTATTTTTTGTTACAACGCCCGAACAAAGCGAAGTCTAGTGGGAACACTCAAGCCGATCACCGAAATCCGCCTACGCCTGGAGTGCTTCGAGGGAGGGGCGACAGTGGCAACGCGACCGCCTCGCAAAGCGAGCGGAGGAGTTCGGCGACGAAAAGTGCTAAAGAAATAAATATTAAATTATATAATTCACCCCTGTCCCGACCCGAACTAATGTGCTAAACTTAATTGTGGCCCGTTGCGGCAAAAAAAAAGATATATCGGTAGTGCGAAAAAGTAGAAATTTGGCGGTGTAAAAAAAAAGGAAAAGAAGAAATTAACACTAAAATCAAGAAAATTTAAGTTGTATTTTTTAGGTATACCAAATAAAAGTATTTTGAGAATAACTTTTGAACGGAGCATCAGATCCAAGTAAATTTGTTGTCATTCGACGCGTTTGAATAAAATTTAAACTGTGTTAAAAAAGTGTAATATGTATTTTACCAACCCAAACTCCAAATAAATTTTTTTTTAGTATGACACTTTCAACGCCCTTTCTCCTAAACCAATTAAATCTCCTGAAGTCTTGGTATGCAATCCTTATTTATTTGGCGTTACCTTTTCGGCCATCACAGCAGATTTTCAATTCTACGGCTATATATACAGGGTGGCCCACAAAATATTTGCGTTTTAAAATCGCTTTAAAAAAACAACGAGAAGGTTGTCGAAAAAGTCTTGCGGTATTTTCGCTAGTTGGCGCTGAAAGCGCGTAGTTCTTGTTTTATTCGTCGCATCAGGTCACGCGCTAACACGTCTTTGATTGATTGTCTTTTATTTTAAGTCGTTCGTGAGTTATAGCGTCGCAATCATGGAGCAAAATAAATAGAAAATACGGCATATTCTACAGTTCTACTACGATAAAGGCAAAAATGCATCTCAAGCCGCCAATAAAATTTGTGCAGTTTATGGACCCGATACAGTTTCCATTTCTCCCGCACAACGATGGTTTCAACGTTTTCGTTCTGGTGTAGAGGTGATCGAAGATGCGCCACGCTCCGGAAGGCCTGTCGTCGAAAATTGCGATAAAATCGCTGAATTGGTCGAAAGAGACCGGCATAGAAGCAGCCGTAGCATCGGTCAAGAGCTGGGCATGAGTCATCAAACCGTTATAAACCATTTGAAGAAGCTTGGAGTCACTAAGAAGCTCGATGTATGGGTGCCACACGAATTGACGCAAAAAAACATCTTTGACCGTATCGACGCATGCGAATCGCTTCTAAATCGCAACAAAATCGACCCGTTTTTGAAGCGTATGGTAACTGGCGATGAAAAGTGGGTCATTTACGATACGTAAGGCGCAAACGGTCGTGGTCGAAAAGCGGTGAAGCGGCCCAGAAGGTGGCCAAGCCTGGATTGACGGCCAGGAAGGTTCTTCTGTGTGTTTTGTGAGATTGGTAGGGAATAATCCACTATGAGCTGCTCCCCTATGGCCACACGCTCAATTCGGACCTGTACTGCCAACAACTGGGTCGCTTGAAGGCAGCACTCATGCAGAAGAGGACATCTTTGATCAACAGAGGCCGAATTGTCTGCCATCAGGACAACGCCAGTCCAGAAGCTCGTATGGGAGGTTCTTTTGCATTCACCGTATAGTCTGGATCTTGCAACGCGCTTGGTAGTCTGAAGTTAGCAACAAGAGAGTCCTTTGATAATTGGCTCCAAGTTTTTTGCCAATAGGGAAGCGAGCTTCTATGAGAGGGGCATTATGAAGTTGGCATCTCGTTGGGAACGCGTCATTGAACAAAACGGCGCATATTTGAATTGAATCGCATTATTGTAACCAATTTAATGAACAATTGAAAATGCAATAAAAATACCGCAAGACTTTTTTGACAACCTAATATTTTTCAAAGAATTTTTTTTTTATTGGATAGCTTCAACGTTGCGGTTTATGTATGAAACACCACTTCGTCCATAGTAATAATAATAATGAAAATATAAATAATATTGAAAATGATAATAACGTAAATAATAATAATATAAAAGAAATAATTGTAAGTAATGCAATTTTAAAAACTCAAAAAAAAAATGTAAATATTAATATAATGAAAAAAGGAACCAGATAGGCCGGTCCCAGCTGCGAATTCCGAAAAGAAAGTCGGCTGAATAAAATAGGTATTACGAAATGATAGCTGAGCTGAAAATATTGAAATTGAATTCTTATGAGGCCCATGTGACAGCCTGTGATCGACAGAACTTTAGGTTTTGCTGCCCATGTGGCCTCGTGGTCCAGTCGTCAAGTTCGTTTTCCGGCCACCAACGAGTCTGCCGGAGTCAAAATGTTTCACTTGATGAAGTTTTGCAAAATAGTCCTGTAGAGGAGATCACAGACCAGAAAGCCACCTCCCCTCTACAGATGTCAGAGACGGAGCGGCTTTTTTTGTCGCCGACGAAAACAAGACCGCCCGACTCGGCTATTGTCTGTCCGTCCGTCCGTCTGTTCACGCCACGAAGACGAAATATTCGGAATAATGGCATTCTCACGCGGAGGTGGTTGACCAGACCAAGTCTACAGTTGGTACAGTTTTACCAAACACATTACAAAAATTGCAACAGGAACAAGGCGCGAATCCCGAAGTGCCCAATATGAATGAACGTGTTTGACGAATGTTATGAAAATTCACTTCATTTCACATCTCTCGAACACAATCGTGCATGCTAGGAAGGCAGTGAGCAATAAATTTGGCGAAGGTCAACCGGTTTGTTCATTTTGTGGGGAGAAATTTCGGGGCAAACTTGAGCATCGGTCCCATATGATAAAGAACCATTCTCGGGCAAAACTTCCTTGTGAAATTGACAAGCGGACTTATATCTCCCTAAGGGTGTTTATTCAAGCATTGTGGGAAAACAATTTGTCAATTTTAATTCATTTTTAAATAAGCTGCGAGTGCAAAAATGTAACAAAAGAACAAAAATGCACCCAAGGTGGGGTAGAGATAAATACGACCATAGGGCTCACATGGTTGGGCAACATATGGAGCCCAAGTTTTATTGCAATATTTGCCTGAAAACGTTCTCGTCGATAAATGGCTTCAGGATTCAGAACTGTGCGGTAGGTAAAACAATTTTAATTCATTAGAATAAATTCTTTGTTTTTAAACGGGAAACTGCACCAAGGAGAGGGATACGAAGGTGCCAACCTATCATAAGATATGGTTAATTACCTAAACTTGACAGAATCAATTAACATTTAGATTTTTGTGCGCCTGCAGCGCTTTCTTTCGCATCGTGCATTTTCTTGCTGACATGTCAGACCTGTTAGGTCTTCTCATTTCGAGCTTTCAGAGAAAACTAAGATACAAGCGTTAGATATGTGAAAACCTTAGAGATGAGTAATTAAGAGATAGTTTTGTAAAATATCGATAAGAGTATGGCGATGCCACTCCGCTTCAATTAATTAAGCAATCATTTAAAAATTACGATTTGTAGGCAACCGTTTCCTGTCGTTTTATTGTAAATATTTACCTTAAAGCAAAAAAGTCACTAAATAAACATTTTGAATTACAACTAGGTCACCAACTCCAAGTTATACGGGGATCTTTGCTCGTTTTTAGAAACTGTAGTGGTCTCTGCAAACCCGTCAAACAAGTTGACAAATGCCTTGATAGCATTATGGATTTCCTGCTGAGTATTACAGATTTCCGTAACCTCGCTCACATTTATGATTTTTAATTCATATTGGAATCAATGAATTCAGGCACATTTAAAAAAAGTCTACTTATGCGGTAATGGAATCAGGTTATTACTTGTTTAAAAGAAGCTTTGTCCTATTTTGTAATTTTTTGTTAATAATTAAATAATTAATTAATTAAATAATTAAACAAATATTTTTAGACTTGTAAAATGTTTGCGCAGTGCACGTTGTGAGCAACTCTCTACAAGGGTATTAAGGGAATATTCTGGTGTAGAAATTTAAAAAAAATCGATTTTTGTTGTTTTGAAGTTTTTAAAATATTCGAAAAGGTCGAAAAAATGGTTAAAAAACATTTGTTGTTTTGAAGTCGACGGAGTTTTGTTATTTGTAAATATTTTTTTTTAAAGTGGTCAATCCGATTTCGGCATCTTTACTAATGAAAAATTATTTTTATTTTTTTCCGATCTCTACAAAGGCTGAAATCGTGAAAACCAGGACGCAACGATTTTTTTGAAGACCACATCTCGGATTTGGATTTTTTTTATTTATATATATTTTTTGTTTTCTGAAAATGTCAATAAAAACCATATAAAACTATGTATATAAGAAATGTTTTTCATTTCTTTGTGATCTTTCTTGAAAAAATGCTTAAAATTTAGTCTTCTAGACCAGAATACAGAATAGTAAACTTCTGTTCTCGTTTTCAATAAAAGTAGATTTCTAATTTGTTATAACGTTTCAAAAAGTGAATTTAGTGCGCAATTTGGTTATCGATAACGAAACCACTGAATCAGCTGTTGAGTGAGTAATAATTTAACGCTTACCAATACTGCGTAAGTTTTTACCTGTAAATGAAAACAACAAAATAGGAAAATAAATTTTAATTTATTTATTTATGATTAGAAAATAGGGACTTCGAGATGGCTGAAACTAAAGCCAATCCCTTCGACATGGACAGCTCCAGTTTCGATGCGGAAAAGTATCTGGAGAGACTGCTGAAGGTGAGTAGTGGCGGATGCACTGAAGTAACACCCAACAATTGGCCGTATGTTTTGATTATTTTGGGTGAAATTAGGACTGTTCCCTGAAGCAAATTATGGACACGGAAGCGGCGGTGGTGAAGGACACCCAAACTTTGCATTCGGACATGCAGACTCTGGTGTACGAGAACTACAATAAATTTATCTCCGCCACGGACACGATTCGCCGGATGAAAGACGACTTCAAGCAAATGGAAACGGATGTGAATCTGCTGATGACCAAGATGCAATCCATAACCACATTCAGTGAGCAGATCACTGGCACCCTGCAGGGCACCAGATCGCAGCTATGTCGCCTGTCAGAGAAGCATTCGCTGCTCAAGCGGCTGCAGTTCCTCTCCACGCTTCCGGCCAAGCTGAAATCCCTGATCGAGGAGGAAAACTACGCCCAGGCTGTCCAGGATTACCTGCATGCCCAGAAGGTGTTCGCGCAATACGGCAGGCAGCCCTCGTTCGACGGCATCCAGCGAGATTGCGATGCCATCATGTCGGACCTCAAGGACCAATTGCGCAAGGACTTTCAACGAGCGGGCAATACGGCCCAATCGTTGACGGAGATTGGTGAATTGCTCCTGCAGCTGGACGAGAAGACCTCGGATCTGGCCAGCGAGATGCTGACCTGCGCGGGCAAGCGACTGCACGAGCAGATCGTCATGCTGCAAGATCAGACGGAGCGCGATATGCTGGAGTTTGTGGACATGGGCATCGATGGCTTCCTCAACGATCTGGCCCTGGTCGTGACCTCCTACTTCGACATGTTTGTGGCCAAACACTACGAGCAAGAGCGGTATATTAAGTGTATGATTCTCCCCGATCTTATAGAAATAATACCCTCTCTTAGTGACGACTTTCAGGAGAATGCCCTGTTGGAGCTGAATGTCTTTCTTAACCAGAACATCGACAAGTACCTGACACTCGTCCAGGATCGTGTTGAATCCGACATTGGCTACGGGGACACCCAGGTGATGCTGCGTGCTCTGGATCGCCTGCATCGGCGCCTGCAAGCCATGCGGAACATCTGCCCCGGCTTGGAAGTTCAACGCAACACGGTCTCCATTATAATTTCGGCTGCCCATCAACTGTGCGATGCCCATGCCAAGAACCTCAAGGATCACTTTGCCGATAGCCTGAGTGCGGTTCGATTGTCCCTGGTTTCCGCCAAAAGCGATGCAGCTGCTGGTCTAAATCTCAGCGATCTGATCAGCAACCTGTACGTGGCCATGGTGGAGAAGATCAAGGGCGTGCTGCAGGATTTGCTTATATTCCTGCGCACCGACTGGTCGTTCAACATCAAGGCGGAGCACAAGGGCGCTCTGTGCGTGGAGGGCATTCGGGAGAATCTGCTGATAGGCTTTCTGCGCCACATCGCTAAGGTGATGTGTGGATTCGGAGATGCCTCCAGCTCCAGTCCACCGAATCTGCTGTTGGTGCTGTCCAAAACGTGTCTGGAACTGGAACAGCAGGGCGTGCACATACTGGTCAGCATTCTTAACGCAAGATTTTCAAAATATTTGCCTAATAAACCGTTTCCCCAGATCGCTTTGGTGGATGACCTCTACGAAATCGATTCGGAGAACAGTGCCACATTAACCCACGAAACCGAGATCTGTGCGGAGATGCGGGAAACGGCTCAGGCACTCCTGGACTCCTATGTGCGGCTGCAGGGCACTAACATCTCACAAATGCTGCGCAAGAGCGTTGAGACAAGGGATTGGCTCAACTGCCTGGAACCGCGATCCGTGCGAGCGGTGATGAAGCGCGTGGTGGAGGAGCTGGGCAGCATAGAAACGGTGGTGGCCAGTCTCTACGAGGCAGCCACGAATACTGCGTCTGGATTCCGCACCACAGCCAGCAGCGATTCCAGCCGTAAAACATACTTCAGTAACTTTGCTTCCACCTCCAAGCCACAGTACCGATCCAATTGGTCAAACTACACGCCCTCGCAGCTGGAATCCAGCTATGTGTCCAACATACATCGCCTGTTTTCGGAGCGAGTGGAGATCTTCACTTCGGTGGAGTTCACCAAGGCTTCCATTGTGATGGGCATCATTAAAATTGGGCTTAAGGTAAGAGGTTACGCAGAGAGATTAACATGATGTTTATGTGAATCTGCTTGTAGACCCTGTTGGAGTGCGTGAGGTTAAGAACATTCAGTAAATACGGACTGCAGCAGATCCAGGTGGATGCGCACTACCTGCAAATGAACCTCTGGCGCTTTGTTAGCGATGAAAAGTAAGTTCACTACCGATTTAAAGGCATTTGGAATAAGCAAAACTAATGGTTTACAGCCTGGTCAACTTCCTGCTGGACGAGATCCTTGGTTCAGCTGTCCAACGCTGTTTGGAGTCCGTTTTAATGGAACCCAATGCTGTGGAAATCATTTGTGAACGGGGTTAGTATTGACTCCCACAGCTGAATAATGCATCATTCCACTTAAAATCTCCGTCTATTTCGTAAAACGCTGCTAGCCTAAGGATCATAAATTAAACGTCTCTGTAAGAACGAACTTGGCGGAATGGAAATTGAGAGAATTTCATCATTTCAGAAATTCATCAGATTCAATACCGCCAATTTGTTTTGTAACAGAGATGCAAATACATGTAACGATTTTCAACAGAAATGTGCTTTTAATCTGTGGTATCGGTACTAAGACACAGGGTGAACTCAATGGTGTCGGCCTTGAGATCCTCGTCGCCGTTCGCCAGCAGAATACTGTGGGTGGTTTCACCACCATCTCCGCCCGTCGAGATGCTCAGAATGCTGGGCGCCTCCTCCTCGGCGGCCTTCCGTTTCTCGGAGCGTGCCTTCCGCGCCTCCTCGAACTCCTTGGGATGACACTTCTTGCGGTGCGTATGCTGATTGGCATTCGAGTTGAACGTCTTTGGGCAATGGGGACACTTGTAGAGCACCTCGCCCGTGTGCGTGGTCATGTGCTCCCTCAGCGTGATGGCCTTCTTAAAGGCTTTCTCGCACACGCTGCACTCGTGCTTCCGGTCCGAAAGATGCACATACCGCTGGTGACTGAGCATGGCGCTCCGGTTAGGCGACACCTTGCCACACAGGTCGCAGGTGGCGGCGGTGCCATTGTGTCGTCGCACATGCTTCTTCAGGCTGTGCTTGTTCTTGTGCCACGAGCCACAGATGTCACACTGCACCTTGGGCTCTGTGACGCCGGCGTGCTCCAACTGGTGACGCTGAAAGGCCGCTCGACCGCGAATGACCTGGGCGCAGATGTCGCACATAGTGCCGTAGTTGCCGTGGGCCATCTTTACGTGCGTGCTGAGCAGAGATTGGTTGGGGAACCTGCATGCGCAAAAGAGAATGGTTACTAAAGACTACTCTGGATGGGTAATTGTAATACAAGACTAGCCTCCGCTCGCAAAGGTTGCACACCACATTGCGCTCCTTGTGTATAACGCGATGCTGATCCAGCAAATACTGCTTCGTGTATTTCTTGGGACACTGCTCGCACATAAAGGTCTTCTCCTCCTCCGGATGGTGCTTCAACAGCTCGTGATTCCGCAGGCACTGCTTGTCCGCAAAGCGCTTGTCGCACTGCGTGCATCTGCAATGAAATTTCACATTGATTAGGAGCCCTCGCGCTATGATTTCTCTACCAGATTGGCTTCCTCCACTTTACCACTCACTTAAACTTCTCGGGATCGGCATGACGATCGATGTGATCGGTGAGGAAGGAGCGCTTGTAGAACTTTTTGTTGCAGCAGATGGCATACCCTTTGCGATTGTGCTCCTGCATCATATGCTTGCAGAGGAGCAGATATGTCTCCTGGCCCTCGTGGCAAACGTCGCAGGTGAGCCGCATGTGGGCAGAGATCTTGGCATCGATGTCCAGCATGCTCTGTTTGTAGTTCGGATAGCGCTTGGTTTTCTGCGAGGCTCCTTCTCCTGCCTTACATAAGTTTCTCTTTCCTCGGGATTTTGTTGCAGGAGGCTTGGTTTTCCCGGGAGAAGGCACCGGAGCAGGACCGATTGCCTGATGGGATCTGCTCTTGGTGGTGGACCGCGTTTCCCTTCGTTCCTCAGTGGGTATGGGGGGTATAAGCGGTATGGGATGTGGGATATTCCCCAGCTCCGTTACTGGTAGCGATTCTTCCTTTACTGAACCTTCGTCCAATGACATGGATTTACTTTGCTCCTCCTGCTGGGCAATGACATCGCTGAGGAACTGTTCGTTGTTGAAGGAAGCACTTTCGCAATCGCTGCTGGGCAAACCAGCCTCCTCATCCTCATCTTGCTCGTCCTCCGGAAACTCCAAGCTCTCATCCGGCACAGCTTTCGCCTGATCCTGCCCAGACTTTAGCGAAAACCTTTCCGTCAGCAAACGATGCGCCCTTTCCACCAACTCGTAGAACTGGTGAAAATCGTTCACCTGGTTCCAGCAGGTCAAACAGATCACCGTAGATATGGGATCATCGCTTTTTGGCTGCAATTAACCAATTAATAATTATAGTCCCTCAAGAAAACACTCCGAATAGCTCGTACCTCAAACCAAAAGTATTTGGCCAGCACATTAGCCACATTAAGGGAGAGTCCATCGTCCTCGAATATCCGTATCGTATCCGAGTCGTTGGCGTTGTTCAGGCACAATCGGCAAATCATGCTTAAGTCAAAGCATTAAAACTTTTAAAGCAAAAATGGTTTGTTTGTTGACTTTTTTGACCAAGTGTGGCTGTATATCAGCTGGTTTATAAATACCAACAAAAAACAATCGATATCGAAATCTGTATCGTTAATCGTAATCGAAACCAGTCGCGAAATTTAAAAATTATATTTGATTCAGTAAGTACGATGTTAATTTATTTTAAACTTGTTGCCCAATAAAAATTAATTTTAAACAAAACCCGGACTTTGTTTGAATTCTATTGGAAAGGAGGAGAAAGTGTCTTTTAATGAAAGAAAAAAGCGCACTATAAACAACCCAAACTTTGAGCCGGGCAAAACACACCAGAATAACAAACCAGGTCACCAAGAATATTAAATATTATAAAATTAAATTTTAAAACCATAACCATATTTTATTGTTTTATGTTATCTTTTATCTTTTTCAATGTTTTATATATTACTTTACCTTACTTTAAGCTCCCACACTCCAAGCTCAAAGTGAAAATTTTAAAACACCATTCGGTTATTTTTGTAGAGTTGGTAATTTATTTAAGATAAAGTTGAAGTTTTTATTTATTTGTTTGCAATTTTTGTTTTTTTTTTCTATCTTGTTGATATTATCTTGATTTACTCGCTTTACACAAAATAATTACTTTTAATACCACAGCAGTCTTTCATTTAAAAATAGATTTATCAATGTTGTATTTAATTTGATGAGTAGCTTTAGATCGATTATTCTAATTACGTGCGTACGAGATATTATTAGATGGTTTTAATTTTGTTTGAATTTAGCTCACACCAAAATCTACCATATAAAACGGTGATTATTTTTGGAACAGCCAAGGGTACATTCATATTTGTTTGACTCTTTCGAATGAGCTCTTAGATTAACAGACCGATTGTAACATGCCTTTCTCATTTATTGCAATTGCTCTAAGATTGACTTGAGCTCTCTTTGTTAATCAGAGCTTTGTTAATGGGAAATTCCAAATGGGAGCATTTCTACTGATAAGGAACAAATTTAGTTCGTTTTATAAAAGTTGTCTTGAAGCGTGCACAACATGAGAGTGTATCTGCTTGTTTTTATATTAATTTCAACTTTATGGACGTCTTTTGTAGCAGCGGGTTTGTATAAAATATAATTTGTGTTAAACAAATTAAGCTAATTACATAACTATTTTGCAGATTGTTTGACGGATCCCGTGACAATGCTGTGCATTTTGGACCCAGATCAGGGCAAATAAGCATGTACCCATGTATATGAAGATGGTTCAATAAAGCAAAAAAGTCGATCATGAAGTGGGCTTCTGTATTCTAAGTAATTTAACAGTCACCCCAGACTGAATTACGTGTGGCAAATCGCATTAAACATTCCACGTCCTCCGTCTCCACACTTGCGGACAACTTTTTTTGTGTGGACTTTCGTTTCTGGTATTTTGAAGGTATTTTGATTTTTCCATGAAGTTGGTAACTTAGAGGAAGAGTCGATTTAAATATATTTTTTCGTGGGACTTTTGTGACGGCAGCAGCAGCCATGAACAAACATTAAATGGCTCTTATAGAAATTTTATTTGCAGAAATTAAGTTTTAATTTAAGTAAAGGGACGAGCTATAGCAAATGTTTTCCGCTTTTTAAAGTTTTCTGTAAATAACATTGTAGAGGGATTTACTATTTAATTATTTATATAGACAACCCTTATATAATTTTCAAAGGGTATTTCTGACTTCTTTACCTGTATTAAGCCCAAAAATTTTTTTTTTTTTTGCTGTGGTTCTCTTGTATTTTGGTGGGAGTTTGTCTGCCCGCTGGCGACCGTGTCAAGATGAATGAACATGGACAAGTTTTTGCCACTTTCCGAGAGGAGAAAGTTCTCTGTGCTGTATCTCGCATCTGAGTCTCGTTTTTCCACTGCTATCCCATCTGCCTTTCCTTTTCTTCGTTTATATGTTATCCCTGTTTCTAACGCTCTTCTTTCTTTGTTGCGTCTCATTTCAAATACATTAACATTTTGACCTTTCGCAAAAAAGTTCGAGCGGTTGCCGAGGCCGAATTTAATTTCGAGTTGTGTGCAGATTGTGCAAATCACACGCTCTTCAATATCTCCTCCTCATGTCACCTGCACTGAGCAAAAATGGAAAAAACTGTTTGATATTTATATTTATACTTCTTTAAGCTACTTGAGGCAATTTTATTATTATTAACAGTCAATTTGTCTCCGACAGATGGCGCTAGCAATTTAAGGTATATCTGACTGCTTGCAGTGACGTTATTGACTTTATTTTAAATCTGTTGCTTTAAATATTTTAATGTTACTTAAAGTTTAGAGCTGATTTTAATAATGCAAATAATATTTATTTTTAAGAGAGCTAGAAGAGCAGAAAAGCTTTCAATCTTTATTAAGCGAACTTTCGAGTATTATATGGCACTTAAACTTTTGATCAATGGGTATTGTACCGTACTTACACAGCCTTTTCAGTTTGTAAATAGGTTGCAAATACTATTTTGCAACCACTGTTTAAACATTTAAATTTCCTGTCAATATAACATTATTACAAAACATTTAAAAGCCTACTAACTTTACTGTAACAAAGATAATTTCGAAGTACTCTTTGCTTTTTTTACATTTAACGTGATTTAAATTTATCAACCAATGATATTACATAAAATTTACTGTAAAATACATTCAATGTCATTTAAATTTAATTAACCAACTTTTTTCTGTGTTTAACTAAGCTGTTTGAAAAAATAAAAACTCAGGACTATTGGCCAAAATGGGTAACATTTTTTGTCAGTGTAAAAGTGACATTGCATACCTGCAGACACAGGATTCTCTGGTAGTCCTTACACACAGGGGCACACACACTGGTGTGTAGCGTGAACTTTGCTTTCATCAAACTGAAAATTGAATTTACGTAAGCCAAGCAAAAGTCGCACAAAACAACAAAAAAAAATCTGAAATGCGGGAGAAAGGAGGAGAAGGCGCTGTGAAACGTCGAACGTGTCAAGGTCAAGTTGCCATTGTCCCAGCTTTCCCACCCCTGTGCGCAACAGGAAAAGCTGCCTTCTCTCCCATTTCCACCCCACTCATATGTTTTGTGCAGTTTGAAGTGCGCCAAGTCGTTAAATTAATTTCAGTGCACTCAAAAGCAGAAGCAGCGGAAACTGGAGCACAGCGCTCATTTTAAACGGATTATGTGCACGGCATTGGAGTGGGTAGCAGTTGGGTGGCCGGTGGGTGGCAGTTGGATGGCCGGTGGGTAAGTAGTGACTGTGGGGGGGGGCAGGGATTACTGGCAAGTGGCCGCGCCAAGTGAAGTGAGGCTGCGTGAGTGGACAGCAAATGAAAGGCAAACAAGTTGAGCACCATAACACAAAACTTTAAGCCGAAGTCAAAGGTTGGGTGGTTTTTCCAAAAATAAACTTTGGGTGGGGCAAACTCAAGTGCCATGGCTGATTTCACTTCGAGTTTTACAGCTGACACTTAAAAGCCATTCGGCTGGAAAAAAAATTGGCACAAAATGGAACACTAAGAGAGTTCGAAATACGTGCACATTAAATGGGGCATTATTGACTGAAAGCAGGCGTTTTGCCAATAAATTAAATTCAACAATTTTTGTTCAATTTTATTAAAGGCAGCGAAAATTATTCCTTATTACTTGTTTCTTTGGCAGATTGCTTTTATTTCTTTTTTCGTACTTGTTGATAATTATTATAATAATATTAACACAAAAGGAAGACAAACAGTTTTTCGCAAGCAACATTTGCAATCCAATAAACTATTAAAAAACAGTTTTTTTCTGCGAGTCCATTTTAAAGAAATGTAATTAAAGCGACGAAAAACAAAATGTGGAAATGTGTCTTAATAAAATCATTAAAATTTAAATGTAATGTACAAAAAAGTTCACAGGAAAATATGTTTCTATATTTCTATATATAAATATGAAACAAAAAATTCATAAAAAAATATCTACAACATATAATCATATTTAAAAATTAAAATGTCAGGGAAACTCGTTTTCACTAACGTGATATGTATATCATAAATGGGGAACAAACTTTTCCCCATTAAATCCGGCCTGAAATTTAAGTGCGGCGATAAGGTTGTCAAGCGTCGACAGTTTTATCAGGCGCCAAAGCAAATGCAATTTAAGTGCATTCGAAAATAAAAATGTGGAGGATCGTGTAAAGCCGAAGGATATGTGCCCATAAAGACCAGCACACGCATGCGAATATACATATATACATATAGAGTTCGCATGCAGATGTATTTCCCACGGAGGATTGGCCAGGGGCGAGTCATAAATCTGCACGCAAAGTGCTTCCGGCCTGCCAGCCAAAAATGGCTGATGATTCTACTTCCTCGGCTGGGAAGCGCTTTAATAACGGCAAAGTGCCGGCCGCAGGTGTTTACCTGTGGAATGGGAAAAAGTGGAAAGCCTGGCGGGGTGAAAACATCGCGGGAAAAGTGATCCAAATGCAACTTCAGCTGGTGTTGCAGCTGCAGCACAGAATCAGCGACTTTTGCTGCACTGTAGCACTTTGTGGCTGCAACGCTCCTTTCGGCTGTGTCACCCTACACTGTCGGCTGCTATATTGTTTCACTTTTCCTTCCTTGCGGGAAATGATTGAGAGATATCGAAACATAAGGAAACATATCATACAACTTGGTCAATATTTAATGAATTCTTTTGCTCTACACTCTCTTGAGTCGTAAATGTTTGGAATTTCTATATAAAAGTGAATCTTAATATTTCATAAGAAGTCATCCTTCATGCCTATGATCGTTTTTTTTAATCTTGTATATACATAGTTGGATTTGCTAACAAGAGTAGTAATACTTTATTTGTATCAATCGATTTGCATTAATGCGAAAACATTTTTATTTTCAGCATTGCATCAAAATGTTCCCGACTAGTTAAAATGTTTTTGACTCTTATAAATTTCTGCCTGTAAACACCCTAAAACCAAATTTGTTGATTTTTAAGAAGTTTTAAATTATAGTTTGAGATTCATTCGGAAATCGTCTTATAAATGTTCTACATAAAGTGTAAATTTTCCAATGAAATTAAGTTGGGTTGTCCGAATTTCTTAACGGTTCGTGTGAGATCAGCTCTTTATAAATTTGCCAATCGTAAAATTAACATTTCGTTGGGAATGTGGAATTGTGTTTACCCCTATAACAAACCAGTAACCAAAGAACACATTGGCAAATCGGACCTAAAGTGCTTTTTACATTTAATGTATTTTTGACAGTATTTAAAGTGGGTTAACAAAATTTCTGTTCTATTGATTTAGATATTTTGGTTGACCGACACCAATTGCTAGGATGTCATTGCCTCTGATTTCTTTCGGTGTGGTTCCTAGACTTGGACCCTCCTCTGCCGCCGTGTTGCTGCTGTCAGTTGGCGTTGGCGTTGTCAATTTTTTATTGCCCTTTGGCAGATGTGTTTGACTGCTCAGGAATGGAGGGGCGGGGGAGGCTGGGGCAGGACGCTGTGTGTATTGCGCTTTCGAGGTTAGCGGGTCACGTGCCGCTCTCGACCTGCTCCTTCGACATTTGCTGCGACAAAATCAGCGCCGTGGCATCTTCGCCAGCAATTGAATTCAAATGAAGCCGGGCCAAAATGGAGGCGACGCCCCAGAAGAATAAATGCGATGCCATAAATCAAGCATAAAAATTGACATTAATTTTGCCCACGAGAGGAAATACAAAGCGATAGAGTGGGAAAGAGAAAGGGGATAGCTACAGTGAGAGGGAGATGGAGCACTGCTTACGTGTGGGGCTTTTCCGAATTCAATTCGAGGAAAGCAAAAGCTCTGCGCTTCGCTCACGCTTGGAATATTCAAGTGACAATCAAGCGAGAGGAGCTCATCTGCTTATCACCCTCCTAAATTTTTCCATTTTCCCTCACCTAATCGAATCTCAGGGAACGAAAAACGAAAAAGTTTTCCATTTAATGCGATTTGTATCTGCATTAGTTTTGCGGTTTATTTCGTAAATCGCACTGCGATTTAATGGGAAACTAGCATTTGGTATTAGGCAATTAAAGTTCACCCTCAACTATGTTTATAACAATGTGGTTTTTGCAAAAATAACTAACTAATCAAACCGCAGACACAACGACGAAAAGTGCTGACCACAGAATTGGAATTCCAATTGTGCAGTGAAACGAAATAAAAGAGTTTATGGTCTAATAATCAACATTTTATTCCTAAATTTAGAATATCAGAAGGGTTAATTTGGGTGTTCTGCTTACAAAGGGGTGTTTTGGGGAGATGCTAGGTACATTAAGTTATC